CTGTCGCCAAATTGGCTTTGGCTTGGCGCCTCAGAAGAAAACGAAATACGAGTATATATGCAGATGTGCATATGGGAAAATAAAAACATTAGCACAGTTTGGGTTTTTATGTACCCCAAAAGACACCAAAGTGATACCGAAATCTGACAGAAAATATCTATTTTGTGTGGGTTATGAAGACAACTTTGGCTGCCCTTTTAAAAATGATGAAAAAAGTAAAACAAATATTTCTAAGATATCTCAAAGAAATAAGTAAATATTTAGATTTCTTTGGTTTAAATAATTTAAATATAAACATATATTTTTTAACATCAATAAGCCAGCCAAGAGAGCTGTTTCCATTGCTAACAAAATCACGCTACTCTCTTACTTTTTGGCCGGAAGACATAAGCCAAATAAACACTTGCGCTGGCTGCCAAAAGGAAACCAAGCAATTAATATCAATGAGAGAGCCCACGCACAGAAAGCCGCAGAAAATGTCATAAAAAAATAGCCACAAGAACCGCTGGCAAATAATATAGTCGTAAAAAAATAAGCCACAAAGTGGAGTCTCTCGGCCGCCTTGCATCATCGCCAATTGCCAGACGCAATAAAAAAAAAATAACTTGGCAACTTGCGGCACGTCGTCTGACACGCCCCCTGCCCGCTACATGCAGTACACTGCAAAAAAAAATTATAAAGATATATTAAAACTTGAATAGAGAAACTTTTAGTTCTTGGGAGAAGAAAATAAATAAAGAGTTTTAAAAAACGAAGAAAATAAAACAAAATAAAGCAACAGAAATTAAGAACTAACCAATCTATGTAAATATTTAAATTATCTTTATAATTTATATTAACATATGTAAGTTTTCTATATTTAAAAGAAAAAGTATTGTAGATTTATTGTAAAAACATATCCCTTGAGCTCATTCTTTCCCTCAGATAAAGATATTTCATATTTTTGTAATTATTGTTGTTAAAATGTGGCTTATCAAATAAACAAATACAAAACTATACTTTAATTTTCCCTTGTGTAAATATAGTATACACACATGTATCATCATCGCGTCGTGTGTCGCGATTTCGACTCCGTCATGGCATTTATTTTTAGGTTGCTAGTTGCCGCCGTCGTGTCTCGTTTTTCGATTGGTTTCGCTGCCAAATTATTTGTACATTTCATTTGATTTACTTGCAAATTCACTGGCACAGTTTCGAGCCAGTAGGCCAGCTGGCCGAGACTGTAACGATTTTCCCTCCTTTGTGACTTTTATTGCTACCTTTTCGAACGCATAAAACCAGCAGACAATTTGCCAGAGCCCCAATCTATTAAGCCCGGCAGCGGCCATAAATCTCAAAGCTCTTTGGAACCCTTATAATTTGTTTATTGTTTGCACATTTGACAATCTCTGTGGATATTAGGAGACCAAACATAATTTATATTTACCTAAATTGCAAAATGTTTAGTCAGTCCAAGTTTTTAGATATATGTATTAAGAAAAATATCTATACTCTTGTAAACAATTAAAGCTTATAATCCAATTTAACTGTACATTTATTTAGATAAATTATTACTTAAGTTGCTTTAAATTATTATAAATAAATTCCTAAAATACATATTAAAATGTATAAAATAACTTAAAAGTTTTCATATTTTTTGGAGTGCCTCTGCAAGCAAAGTGCAAATCACTGGGATTAGTTTTCTCAAATATTCACACGTCCCGCGGCTAGAGATCTTGCTGGAACCATAAAAGGCATTAACAGATATTTGGCCCAAGCAAACAGCCAAGCACTAAGCCCAGAGCCGCATTTCATATACAGACCAGACAGACACATTTTCCACTTTCACTAATTGTCAATTCTGTGGCTCGATCGGAAGAAAATAAAAACCGCACACTGAGAAACTGGAACAGCTCAACTGAATAGAAAGAGAAGAAATTACAGATGGGGAAAAATATAAGGGGACTGAGTTGACTGATAAGTAAACGATCACTCTTCTTAACGCCCGCGCATGATGGAGAAGAGATTATATTGTAATGCATTGGGGCACTCTCCATTTGTTGTAACTCCTTGAGGAGGATTCAGATCTGGAAATGGTAATTCAGATGGCCTGGACTCACTCGATTCAGTTGAAAAAATAGAGCATGTACAAAGATATGACAAATATATTAAAGATTCAAAGTAAGTCTTGGCCTAAATGAGTAATTTTTGTTAATACTATCATCCAAAATTCTTACATAAATATTAATTACAGTTCGTAAACATCAAACAAAAGTTCACAAGAATTACACTTTCATGAATATTGTTTCATTTAAATAGTTAACAAATTGGTCATAACTAAAATAACATATAAATAAAGATAAGAATGCAATCTCATGATATTCTATACATTCGACCTTAAATATATCTCAAGATCCTCATTATTTTACTTCTTTCAAAATTACTATTCAATGAGTAAGCGGTGAATCACTTTAGAATTGGTAAATTGGTTTACTTATGTCATCGATTCAGGGTCAGATCTCTGTTTTCTCTATTTGAATTCCCTCTAAAGACAAAAAATGTGGTTATAGAAATGAAAATACATACATATATCAAAAAGTGTTTGCACAAATGACAGATAACCATTGCGGCTTCAAGAAATGTGGAATACGAAATTCAGATCAGGCGACACATATGCAAATTTCACATTGTGGGTGTAGGCTGAAAAGTGCACTGAAAAATCCACTGAAGAAAAAGTAAGTTATAGAATTATAATCTTAAAAATTCACTAAAGGAAATTTAACTAATGAAAAAATAAACTGGTGAAGAGTTCACCTCGGAGTTAAAAATAGCACTGATTACTAATAGAAAAAATTCAATGGGAAAGAAAACAGAAATTAAAAATTAATAAAAACTTATTGGTGAAAAATTAAGCAGTAAAAATATTCTGAAAATATACTTAGGTCAAAAATTCAGCTGTTTAAATATATTAAGGAAAATTCACTAGCAAAAAATTCTCTGAATTCACAGATTCCTTTCACAGGGCATATTCCGGAAGAAGGCGTAGTGGGTGTGCTTTGGGGTCTGAGACCCTGTCACATATTTGCCGATGGTGTTGACTGAAAAGAGAGTAGACAGCTGAAGCTGACAGAATTCTACAAACCTATTAAAGATTATTGGCCTGGTGCGAAGTCAGCTACGCCCACGAGCCACGCCCCCATTGCGTCCAAGGGCGGGAGCTCTCAAGTGTTGCACAACAAAGTGTGTGATTGGAAAGCTACTATATAGAAATTTGAATACTCTAAGAAAATATTAATGAACTTTATTATATTTTAGACACTTTTCATAGCTCTTGACCAAAAGAGAAAATTTAAGAAACACAATAATATCTATCAACAAATTATAGCTTTTTAGCTTTATTGAAAAAAATGAATTTACATCTTATTTTAAGTTAAAAATGTTGCTATTTTATAATTCCTCAAAAATCTGAGAGCATTAAATAATAATATTTCCATTGAAAAGGGTAAAAACTTTTTGTCAGCTCGACTGATTGACGGTAGCGTTGAAAGCCGTTGTCCATCATCAGCACCCCAAGAATTGAGAATTGAGAACTGGGAACTAAGATGGGGAGAAGTCTCCACCGAGAATTCTCGACTTAGAAGCGAGAAATGAAATGCAAATGCATGGATGCAGATATCTGGCTTTTTTTGGTTTTCCTCGCTCACTTGACAGAGATCATTAATAAGATTTATGCGCTATTAGCAGAACCAGCCACAGGCCATAAATAAGACGAAACCGCCGAGGATTTGAGCACATCTCCAAGTGGAAACCTGTTGACAGGCAAAGCCAACCCAACCGACATCTGGAGCTGAATCACCTCGTTCGCACATAGCATTCGCATATAAAAAAATAAAAATAAAATAAAATAAGGAAGCCCAAGAAAGATAAGCATATTTGTAATTGGCCTGTAAATGAGGCTTTAATTGTCGCCACCTCAGTATGCAGTTGATAAATTGTATAACATTTTACAAGATACTATTGAAGATCAGGCAACCAATTAAAATTTATTATTTGTAGTGTTTATGGAGCTAAAAAATATCAGACAGAGACTAAAAGCAAGCCTTTAACTAAATGCAAATTTTAATAATCCTATGAAAACCCTCTCTAAGTGCCAAGATTCTCTAATTTCATCAGCCATTGATTACGTCAGTATTACTTTCGTACATAAGACTATATATTATATAGAAATAGGAAAAATATAGAATATAGAAGATGATGTAATAGTTGATCTGCAAAAATTTACCTTTACTTTACCTTATTAGTCATTCAAATTAGGCCTGAAATGTGATACAAAATGCAATTACAAAATTATAATTATGTATTTTTTGAGTTAGATGAATTAGATTGAGTTTATGATAAAAATAATTATGCATAAGTAAACATTAAAATTTAAATCGGAGTCTTCAGACTGGACAACTGCCTAAAGTTATTCATTCAAAACTTTTGACTACGTAATTAAATAATTAAAAATACTTTGTGCATTAATATATTTTAGCTTCTTTACTCTTGACTCTTTTTCATTTGCAAATGTTTAAATATAATTCTGAAATTTATGATCAGCCAAAATTAATTAAAATTATTTCCAAGAACTCCTCAAAGTGACTCACGCATTCAAGAGAGGGACAAAGAGAACGAGTGCAGTTCGCTCTTAAAAAGAAAGCACAGGTACCGCATCAATACACTCAGAAAAGTTACCATAAAGTTTACTTATATTTCATATACCATAAATGTAACTTTTTTGTTTAGTTTCTTAATTATAAACTTTTATAAAAAGGAAAATAAAACAAAGTATCATAAAATATATGGTTTTGTGGTAGCCAAAAGTTGTATGTACGTGTTGAGTAAGTACATAAACCTAGTACACATTTTCTCACAGTGCACAAAATGCGATCGTCTGAAAGAGCAAAGAGAGCGGAGAGAGAGCTTTTCACGGCATAATAGGCTGCTGCGAATCGGCAATTCCATTCAGATAGCCGGCAGACTTCATCGTGTGAACATCGCCTCGTTCGTTCGGTCAGATACAGATACATTTCAAGTTCGGTTCTGAAAAATCACAAAAATCCAAATTCAATAAATTGTGAAAGTACATGAAAAAAGAAGAAATAAGAAAGAAAGCCACGCAGAAGAATTGTGCAAAAAAGGTGCCTTATTAAGATTAATATTAAATTATAAAAAACAGTGTTTTAATTTCATCACAAAAAAAAATTATCAAGTGCTTAAAGAGTAAACCTAAACAAATATAATTTAAACAAGGCTTTAAAGTAATTTTTACATTTACAAGTAAAAAGATCTATAAAAACCCTAAAAATACCGGTGATAATTTTTATATATATCAATAAATTGATAACAAATTTCAATGAATTTATAAACAAATCCAAAGCAATGATTTAAAATTGATTACTTTTTATAAAATATTTGCAAATGTACAACTTTTAAAAGTATATTTGGGTTGCCCAAACACAAACACGTTTTTTTAACGTGTTGCCGGCTGTGCCACGATTATTTATTTTATTTGTGACGACCAGACAACAGCAAACAAATTTATTATAAATAAAAAAAAGGTGTATGTTTTTTTGTGGTGTTTCGCTACCATTTGCAATACTTGTATCGCATCCGACAAATTCGCCGATTCTGTGCAGCTGTGCGTTAAAAGCGAAGGCGTGTGCCAAAAAATAAACATTAAGCTGCCAAAAATATTTAGCAACTTGTTAGACACGGAAAATTCTCTGACAAGTCGGGGGCGGGGGAGGGAAATAATCGTCAGCCCACGAAAAATTCAATTAGCAAGACTAAAATAAATGCCTCATTTGTCTGGTTAAATATATATAATTGTCTGCTTAAAAAACGGATAGATAAAAATAAGATAAATAATTGGAGGGTGACAAATAAAAAGCAGCTTATAAAAAATGCAAATGAATTAAGTGGGACAAATTACTTAATTAATGGAAAATAAAAACTGAAACATACATTTTCAATGCAGTGACTTTTGACAGTAATTTAAACATAAACAAATTATCAAATGAAATATAATATTTATAAAAAAAAGTAAAAAGGTTTTACACCAAAAAATATAAAACCAATTCTAAATTTATTTAATTTCAGTAAAGTGCCCAGTGAAGTGTGTGTGTGGCAAAAATGCCCAAGAGAATTTAATGAGATCAGAGTGCTAGCTAAAATTCAAATCAAATTATCAAAGAATACCTAAAAATACTCGAATAAAAATACTCAACTCAAAATGAATCTCCGCATCCTGCTGCTCATGATCTCGATGAACACGATCCTCGCCTATTCCACCTGGCCGATTCGCACCTCATCGGCGCTTGACACGCATAATAATCACCTTGACGTGAGGAATTCGACCTTGTTCGTGCCCAGGTCCACCTCCCATCCACCCACGCACAACAACCACAACAACGAGGAAGATGAAGAGGACTATGACTACGGCGAGGATCAAGAGGATCATGAGCCCACCAATGTGGCCTTGTTGTTTCACAAGCGGGTGCCACGTCACCCGGGCAACCAGGCAGTGTCGCGCCTCCAGTCTCCGTCCCGCAGACTCAGCTTCAACGTCAACGCCCCCTGGCAGCAGAATGATAACGATAATCACCTCAATTGGCACAGTAACGCCGACGAGAACGAGGGGGTAAGTCTTTCATCTTGAGACTCTAATCTCGCATCTGAGGCAAACACTTTGGTGGAACCATAAAGGCGCTCCATGTCGTCGTCCTGTTGACACGCTTCATTCTTTGCACTTTACGATTATTTAAAGTTAAATATAAATATAAACTAAATATAACTATCTGGGCAGGGTTTTTACTATATTTTCTTGGTATTCGAGGAGTAAAATAAACCATACTTTGGTATGATTTATATAAAGAGATCTTAGATTTATATATGTAAATATTACACAAAATATTACTCATAGAGCCTACATAAGCTCTCTAGGCCTTTTCAACTCTAGATTCCAACTAGACTTTCAAGTAATGAATCTTGTTGTAATCAGAATAATTAAAGTGTCACCTATTTGCTGCCAAGCTAGGCATATTTTTCGCACTTGCTCATGCAAATAAATTCCGAAAGTCGTCTCTTCGGTATCTCTGCAGTGACTTGTGTTGCGCATTAGAATCGGAGAATCGGAATGGAAATCATAATCGGCATCGGAACGAGAGATGGCTCACCTTGAACCCCGGGGGCTGTGAGCGGCTTGATACCGGGTGACTAACCCTGGCAGTAGCAATCGCTCCGATCTTCAAGCCTCTCTCGCCGATTGCAAATCGAAGATCACAGATCGAAAGGCCCACCCAAATGGCTGAGGAGGATCGAAAAGAAGGAGTTATACAACGGCGGCAATTATGAAACGTATTGCGGCAGGTAGGAGCCACCAATTTGGTTAACAAGGCAATTTGGCGGTGCTTTTAACTCGAGAGATCCCTGCCCAACAATCGGTTTCACTTTCCGGCCTGGCCTGGCCTGTAATTGTGCCGCCCGAGAAGGGGGATCTCTGGCAGAACCTGTCTCTGTCTCTGCTGTTATTTTACTTTTTCCATATATATATTTTTTTTCTGCCGGTTCCATGGTCGACAGCTGGTCGACGATCAACAATCGCCAGTGATCACAGAGGGAGTGAGGGATAAAAGCAGAGGGGTTTGTTAAAGGGACCCTAAAGAGATCACTTTCCGTTATGGTGGTCCCTTCGTTAATTGCCCTAATTGACAACTTGTAACTGTTAACTGCCGCTCTTAAAGTGAAATCAATCGTGGGGATTTCCTGGGGGCCCATTTTCTTTGATATACATTGATTATTTTTGCAATTTAAATTAAACCCAATTAAAACCCAAAACAAAAACACTTTCAAATCTGGAATTCCCCGAACAAGCACACACAATCAGCAGATATATAAATCGAAGCTGATTACGAGATGGCGACAAACGTGCTCTGTTTGATTCTTAGTTCTCACTCAGATTCCCCCAGACATATTCTGCCTTATCTCTGGGCATACAAATATATATATAAACATATATATACAACTTTATACAAGTATGATCCAATGCCACAGCTACTTTAATAAGCTCTCACGATATGTTGAGGGGAGGACTGGGGTTGGAATGGGGTTTCCGATGCACTCAGGCGGCATAAAAAGCTTATGGTCTGTGGTCATGATTTTACCTGAATAACCAAACCACCTCACCTAGCCCCCTTCTTCCCTTTGACCTCTTAAAAGAGGAATTTAATATCTGCTCGTTGGAACTGCATTTTCTGCAATACGCTTTTCCCCTTCCACCCACAGTTTTCCGCCCTGCAGTTTCTGGCAAACTCCACACATATCATTCCATCATTTCTCCCCGTGTGTTTACTCTTTCCCTGTTTATTTGCAACCACATTCCATACGCATAACTGCACTGAGATTAAGAACTCAGAATGGGTCGCATTCAGCCCAAGAGCTTAGACATTCCAGGACAGGACAGGTGAGGTTTCCCTGAAATCTCACATAAATTCGAAATTTAGAAAGGAAAATTATGAAAAATTGCAACCAAGTCTCAAGCTTTTAATAATGAAACAAAATATGTGACACTGCAAACTGGCCAGAATATAAATACAAACTATATTCATCGATTAATCAAGAACTTTGTTGCTCTATCACAAGGTCTATAAAATGTAAATTTTTTATATTTTTAGACCAATGTGCGATTAATATGACTTGATCTAGTCGTTAGCATCGCTAGACATATAGTAATTGTATAATCGCAATAGTTGAATGACTAGAAAATGCATTTATCTTAGAGGGAATGGGAATGAAAATAGGTCACCTTATCTAAAAATAAAAACGTAAAGTGAACAGTTCTTTGGTATAAATATAAAGAAAATAGAGCAAAGTAAACCTAAACTATATGTAGCTTAATCAACATCTGCCCTTGAACTCAAATGATAAGACCTGGCAATTTCGAAAAATAATAAAAAAACGCAGACCAAGTGTTCCAGGAATTAATGCTAATTATAGTAATTACTGTATATAATTTAAATTGAAGGAAATGCTGCCAATCTTTCAAAGAGAAAATTGAGTGACATATGAAACTATATAAGAAGTTTACTTGTGGAAAAGGGTTTTAAATGTTATAAGAAAGGGATACAAAATATATATTACTTACCAATAAGCAAGAATGAATTTTTAAAATAATTAATTATAGAAAAACCTATCATAATTAATATTTCAAATGCTCCAGTCCCTATCATCTGCAAATATTTAGGAATATTTCTAAACAGTCTCCATTTAAGCTTTTCATTTCTAACGAAATGCAAATATTTTCCAGAAAAAATCCTAACAACACTTTGCAATTGAAATCATTTCAATTTCGTTTCGTCGGCGAATCGAGAAATAAACACAAAGTTCTTCTCTGCGCCCCCATAAAATTCCCATTCCCCATCAAAAATTTGTTGACCCCATCTATTGCCACACAGAGTTGAACGATGAAATCTGTTGCCACGCACTGCTATATAGCCGGGGGATAGTGTAAATATCTGGGGGACTTCATGATTTATTGGCAATCTTAATGTGACGCGCTTTTCCATAAAAAAAATAGAAGAAACAAAATATTAAAAAAAAAAGGCTAATGACAAGCAAATCGGCTTATGACATAATGGCAAACCACTTTCGGGCGGTCTACATAGCACACATAGACATATATAACAACGATCTGGCCATGATTTATAGTCCTACCGAAATAAAGTATATAATGCGGAAGCTCTAAATTTATATGGCAAATCTATAAAGTTTTATATTATTAATTCCGATGCTGTATCGTCGCGGCGTCTAATGAACGTGGAAAACGAGGGGCGGAAAAAGAGGGTGAGGAATGTGTGGGGAAACTGGTCTGGTCGCCAGCCTAATAAATTAAGACCCGAAAAGTTCACGCTTTTGGCAAACGGACATAATTTAGTGGCCCCGACTGTGCGAACTAGCTGATTGATCGCCGGCGACTTGTTGGCCATTAAGCGGGCCGTGCGCCAAGAGTCACGCAATTAAGACCCACCAGCAAATATAAATCACGGCCAAGACGAGGCCTTAATACACTCCACGCTCGCATAAATCATATAAATTCCTTTGTTCTAAATTTAATAGGAAAACCTCTCCTTTTGTGATCTATGTTTTGCAGGAAATCAAAGGGACTTAAAGCGTTTGAAAAAATATGAAGAAATAGTTTGCATTCTTTGGATTTTTATTTCATTCAATAATTTATGTGGTGTGACAGCTAAAAGATCATTTAATCTTAAGGGAATATATACCTTAACCAACTCATTTAAATTAAAAATAAATTTTGCACATTTCCATTTACTTTTTGCTCACATGTCTCACAAAAAAGTCAATATTTCCTCCGTGTCGGCCAGTGTATCGCCTTTTGATAAATTCAAACAAATTGCAGATTGAAAAGTCAATCTAGAGCAGGCCAGACAAGTCGGGAGATCGGTGGATCGATCGGTACATTGGTGGAGCAGCAACGTTTCAATCTCTTGGGCAATCTAGCGGCAATCTATCGGTGCGTGTGGGCGTTGCAATTAGAAGAGTCAGACATCCCCGACACTCCCATGCCCCTACACCCCAGGTCCCCAGGTCCCCAGGTCCCCAGATCCCCTGCCATTTGCCCAGACATGTTCTTCGATTCGACGTCTCGACTGGCAATCAGTCTCCAGATCGATCCCTCTGCGACTTGGGGCCTCCGATGAAGATGATGATGCATCAGTTTCACATTTCCGGCATTTGCTGAGACTTGCAACATGTTGCAGCAACTTCTGTTGTGACTGGGCCGACTTAATTGGGAGGCGCCTCCTCGAAATCGATTGCTGATTCATCTTTAGACAGGGATGCAATTCGATTACAAAGGGGGGATATTTTCGATAGAGAATTCGATAGCCAAATTAAGGTTTCAAGAGTGAGGAAAAACTTATTGAAGATTTTTCAAGGATTTTTGATTTTTAATAATCTGAAAAACTGTTTGATCTGTTCTTGTTTCCATACAAGGAATTTAAAAACTACGTGTTATAAAAAAATCGAATCGAACGAATCGAAATTAATAATCATTTACCTCATAATCGAAAGTTAATAGAAGTTTTATAATTTAATTTACCAATAATTAAAGACATTATTAAACCACCTTAATTACAAGAAAAAAATAGAGAGCTTTCAATTAGTAAGTCAATAGTTTTTATAGATAATTTTCCACCTCCAAAGTGTAACTGCTCCATTTCGCTTTGCTTTAACGACAAAAGCCCTGATATTTGGTGGCCTGTTCTCTTACCATAAACCAGCTAGGCTCTGTCATTGACATTGGATGGATATTATGGCCATTTACGGTCCCAAAGGCGGCGGCATCTTTGCTTTCTGATTTTAGCTTTTTGCGCTCATGCTTTCCGTTTGGCTGCTTTCGTTTTCGCAGTCGGCCGAAAGCAAACAAATATAAAATTGTCATAATAAACGGAGACGGCGGCAGCGGCAGATTTCGCGGCTACATTCGCTCGTTAAAAATTAAAAAGCATTTTATACTTACGGCCGGTCCTTTTTTCGCATTTCTCTTATGTTTCACTGGGTGTCTCTGTATAAAAAAAAATAAACTTGCCCCGCTAAAAAGTATAAAATTGTATGGGCTTTTAA